TCGCATGGCTCGTGCGCGCCCGTCTCGATGGCGATAAGGTGTAAAACGCAGAATAACGGGTAGGTGCCACCACCGTCTCGTCTTAGCAAAGCATTTGAAACACTCGTCTTTTCGTGCAAGCGTTGCATGGTCAGCGCAGTGCGATAAGCGCTATGGCCCTTAAAATTACTTCTGTATGACTTTTATAGTAAAAGACGCACATGCATAATATATACGTGTTGTTATGGTGCCCCAGACATGCGCAATAATTGCTTTTTAGTTGAGAATTGCGCAAGTACGAACGCTAAATCTTGAGCAACGTTGGTGGGCGCGGCGGATGGAATCGGCCGTTTCAAGTACACGGTGCAGTTAAGAGTGGACAAACAGACAAATGTACAGAGAGACATTTAGACCGAGAGACCAAAATTTTTGCGTCGAAGGTACCCAACAAAGACTCCCGTCTTTAAAAGTTTGAAAGCAACCTACCGGTGATTTGAGTCAGCAACCCCTCCCTCCTTAGTGTGCTGCATTAACCAGCTAGGACAGGCCACTCGTTTTATGGCGAAAGCTGTTATGAGATCACAACTTGGGTCATGCGTAGTTGGTGTCCATAGTTGGTTGGCCGCCGCCGGTGTCCGTAACCACATCAGGCAAAATTAAAAAAAAAACTTAGCACCAATGACACAGTGGGTCTCGACCCTGGGTTTACTGGGTCCCAGCTCTGTATTCCACCACTGAGCCACACTGATGAATGGGACTTCGTGGCAAACTTTCCTTAGGAAGGCTTGATGTCAGGAAAGTAATCGCGTTAATACGACTGACAAAGCGTTTTAAAAGAGCGAAATAACAACCAGTCGTCGCACAATGCGAATAGCGTAACAAGTTGGTCATAGAATGCTGTGACCCATTACAAAAGCTTGTTCTTGTTTCCCTATTAACTGTGGCGCATGCCCATTTCAACCACAATTTCTCATTGTCGTCAGCCACTGCATGAACAATTGGCACAAAATTCCTTGCAAGTGTTTAGCGCATACCACGCTTCTCAGTAGAATGAAGAAAAATAGCATAGCGAATGCCGGCCTAATACCCAGAAATTTATTATTATTGCCCTAGTCGGTATCAAGCAAGTGTGCTTGCAGTAGTTACCCAATGAGTCTTTTGAAAGGGTCTGAAAGGTCGCTCTTCTAGCTTTCGCTGTGAATGTGCTGTGCCTTTCGCGCTGACTTGGCGTTTTTGCTTTCCTTGTCTGCTGTTCAGTCAAATGTGTGAATGAACATGAAATGACACGAATAGTTTGGAATATAAGTACAATCCAACAGCGACAAAAAGCGTGGTAACGTTGCTAAAGGAACACTCGACAAGTAACAAAGTTCAGTAGAGCAGCGATAGTAACTGAAATTGCGTTATACACAAATGGTGGCGAGGCCAGCACGTCACAAAGAAGGGGTGCAGTCCAGTTTAAAGTCCGATTCATCATAAATGTCATTAAGAGGAATAGCCATTCCAATAAAATATGGGCTTGAAGAAATGCTTGCCTCTGCGTTGTGGTCTTGCATACACGTCTTCCATCGGCTACCTATGAGGAAAATGATATCGAAAAAGATATTGCTCATACTATCCACCTCAGTAACGGCGAGCTATGTGTTTACAGAATTTACATTCTCTACCTCCTTTGACATAGAGAAACATTCGTGAACAAAGCTTGTGCCTTGCTTAGACAAGCGATAGACGCTTTACCTAAATATTGACGTATCGATGGCTTGGTCAGTGGAAGGGTGGTTTCACTGAAGCACATACAGTTGTATGAAATGGCTTTCCGAAAACGTCTCCGACTCCACTTTCACTCTGAAAAAACATGAAAAATTTCTCGCATCATGACCAGGATCCCTCGGGAAGTTGCTGGTCCTGTCGTGCCTGTGAATTCAGTTCCCATGGAAATGCACGCCACGACTATCACTTTAGACGGAGAAACTCAGCTCGCTCTTCATCGTCGGAACAGCGTATACATAGGACCAAAAAGCTTGCCAAGTGACGTCATGAACTTTTTGCTGCACAACTTCCGTGCGGTGTGCCTACAGGATGTGCCGGTGATAGTCACTAGAGACTTCAACGTCAATGCACTTCGACGTGAAAACCAGTTGTTTGTCGCGTTTAACACGTGCCAGACTTGCACTTTGCCTCCTGTCAGACGTCACGTAGTCAGTTATTCAAAACAACACCCCTTTATATAATATGGTTACTGCATTATTATCCTTTGAAACACAATCGGCCGTTTTCGCTTCACTTCGTATGGTTCCTAAATCTCCTATCTTCACTTTGTTTATCTAAAGGTCCCTGGCTTGTTTTCGGGTTTCGGCACCATATATGTCTCCTCAACAAACTGGGTGACGTACTTGACCTAAATAAGAAAACTTCCAAAAATAAGTTCAAGGAATTTCTCCTTTATAATTGTATTGAATACACTTAATACAGAAATTTGGATTATTTATTACTTTCTGTGTCCCAATTGCTTAGAGTACACTATTTGTGTCCTTTTGTTGTTGTTTTTTGCTTATTGTTTGTTCAAGGTGCTTAGGAATGTATGTGTCTCCAGATGCTTTCCTTACCTCACCTATTGTATATATTACGATGTTTTTTAGGTATTTCGTTACTATTTACTGTCCTGTTCTTTCTTTATATTTGTGATGGTTACATGTGTGATCAGAATTTGCAAATTGTATCTGTATATAATGATGTTCTCTAATTGCGGCTAAGTTGTGTATGACATGTTATTTTTAGTTTTTATTTCATTTTATTTTGCCAGACTGTATTTCGGAGCAAAAGCCTTCGTCAGGCTATGTAGCCTTTTGCTTTTGCTTCGTTTTTTCTGTTGCACGTACAGAAAAAGAAATATATTGCGGAACGCCGGTCTTCATCAGTGTAGTGCCGCAAGAAAGACGGAGCCGGGAGAAAACCAACAGAAAGCCTTTAATGGCGACAAAAGAACAATGAACTATCTCTGATGATGCTTGCACGTGCTTCTTGGTGCACAATAACGGAGAGAGCAGCTAACAATCAATTCTTTTTCGTCGTTTTTCGCTGGTCTCCGACCACAGTCTTAGGTGCTCCTATCGCACTCAATGCTTCGGCCTTGGGATGAAACTGCGACTTTATCATCTGTCCCTATTCGCTGCTTTTGTTTGATTTCTTTATCTGAAGAGTGTATTGCTTTGTCTGTTTTTATTGTTTTATTTTGGCGTCCTGCACGACGACCTTATGGTTCTTCCTGGGCACGTTAACTAAATAAATTATTAATCATTGAATATTAAAATATTTTTTTTTTCAAGCACACCTAAAACATGCACTGTTTAGTTCAACCAATTACTGACATAAATTTATGATATCATAAAGTTTTTTTCAGATATCGTGGTATCTAAACGCCGAATGCACATCACTGTCAAACCTCTTAGGTACATTCCTATACGACAGCTGAAGTGAATGCGGCCGAGCACAATGAAACCGTGTTGCTATGCTATCATCGAACCTTGTATAGTAACGCGGCTTTTTAATGAGCATCAGGTAGGAATCTTATGTGTGAACCTCATCAAAGCTGTTAGCTGCCAGTCCCGTGTTCTGGGGTAATGTCTGAAATACAGGATTGTTCTGCCACTGATCGAGCAATTCATGGATCTCGAATTCCTTCCTGGGTACACGCCCGAAGAATATCAAAAGTATTCGAGTCAGTGTTTGCACTGGTACTGTCTTAATTTTTCCTTACGCACGTGCACGTACATTGGCGCAGTTATAATATAAAGTGCATTAGTTGCAAACAGAATCAGTGCTGAAAAAAACTTAAAGTGGTGTCCTATGCATTGGAATTGAATTATGAAAGCCGCCTTTATTTTCTTCTTCACAATCGACTGTCCTGATGCCTGCCGTGAAGTTTCCGCATCCAACGTGGAATGGCATAAACTCCATTATCGGAAACATTGCAAAATTTCTGCACCTTACGTGGCTTTACATTGTTTCCAGGATCAGTCCACTTTTACCAAGCGAAGGTGTCACTTGACGACGTCTTCAAATGTTCTTGCACTTCGTGACTTCATAATGAATGTACGATGACGTCACTAAGTTTGGCATTATGTGGCAAAATGACGGTGTAATGGGGTAAGTGATCGTATTAATTTTGGCGTGCCTTGAGTGGACGGTGGCGTTGCAGATGATTACTTTTTACGTTCGCTACGTCATGTAAGGTTTTCGCCTTAATAAGGTGAAAATAAGACGAGATTTAGGTAGATCCAAAAAACACTGTTTCGCTAAAGTCCTTACATATACTTTTGTAACGGCGATCTTCTGGATCTGGTGATTGTTTAGTGTCACAATTGCTTTGCAAATACAACCCTCCTCAGCACGTTAATATGTTGTGTAGTCCTAGTGAACGCAAGTGAAACAGTTTTCAATATTAGTTTTAGCTTTCGTGCAAGGAAAGTCCAAGTGGCTGACTGAAGTGTTCCCAGTTCAACGCTCTACCGTAGCTTGATAAAATGCTTGATAAAACCTGGGCAAAGTTTGTCACTGCGTCTCTTGCAGAGATCATACGGTTGATAGCCAACCAGGCACAACGCTAAACGTTGACCACAATACAGGTTTGAAGCAATTGATTATTCTGCGTACACATCATCCCACCACCGTGTTCAGAACATCAACAACGAGCCCCTGTAACCCCGACGGCGCGTCCTGAAATAAAGCCAGACACAAAGCGCAGTGCTGTGCTGGTTAGATGGACCAGCTGGGACGATCAGAGTGCAGGCTGGCGGAGACTTTCGCTCAAAATAGATGCGGCACGGGCGCGAGCCCACGAACGCTTTCGCACTCGCACACTCTTGACACCGAGGCGGCAATATGCCGGGGAGGGGGGGGGGGGCTTTTTATTCCCATTGCCCTCACCCTTCTCCTTAACCGCGTCTCTTGCTGTCGTTTAAAAGCCCTCTTCTTCGCCCCAAGCCTCCGGTGACATGCCGTCACCTGTCTCTCTTTCCTGGACTCCCCCGCCCAGGTTCGAGAAGGAGACGTCCGGCGCTTCTGCACTGCCAGGTCTGAAAACGTAACCCTCCATTCCAAAAACTCGTCTGCGGAAGAAATAGCAACAGAGAGTCGCTGTGTTGCTCCACGATGCTTCCCCGCTGAGAAGGCCAAGAGCCTCTTGCCAGTTAGGCCTAGCCACAGTGACTGCAACTAGTTCGCCGACCCGGTGTCGCGTCCAACAAGTGTAGTATTGGTTAGGTAGAATATCGGCTAGGGTCGATCAGTCAACGTAAGGTGTTGCCACCAGCACCTCGCAGGTTCATCTTCTGTGCCAAAGATGATCAGGTGCAGGTGAGAGAGTGTCGTTCTTGAAACGATACAAAGATCCCGCTGCTTGTACGAGTGCGCAAGACGATCGTCACCTGCGATGCATCTCGGCGAATTGAGAAAAATGGTGAGGTGACGCCAGTGGGAACACAAGAACTCGTGCCCTGTTCTCTTTCTTCTATCATTGTTAACTCTCTACAAATAATGGTGCACTGACGAAAGTTGAAACATGGCGTGCCTCCGCGTGCGAGATGTGCTCGGCATCGCAGTGTTTACACTTTTGTGGGCGGCAGCTCCGGTACATGGACTACCGGACGTCGTACGAATAGGTAAGTTGTATGCTTTATGCACGATACCACATAACTTCATCATAAGGTACCTGTAGCTTGGTTTTTCTTTAGATCATGTCAAGTACACAGTGAAAAGTGTCACGACTGATTGGTGAAACATTGTTGAGGCTCCTGCAAATGTCGGTAGGACTGGCAAGTTCATGCCTAACTGGCGAACAGAAGCCCTTGAACCTTCCAGCGGTTTCTTTTGAACATTGAACATAGGCCATCTTAGAGTTGATCCCTGAGGGCAGAGCTAGTCAAGGTCGTCTTCAAACACCGAAATGAGACACAGTTGTAATTTAGACGCTAGCCACGAGCTGAAGTTGCCTTATAAAGATATTGTCTTCGTACACTTGTTTCCAGCGGGTGATCAGACCACGTATAGATCACGTACGTCATTCTATGAAGTTGTCGTTTGATAAGGGGACGTCGCTGCCCCTTCAATGCTTGAGCTATATTTCTGGCATAGCTGGAGAATACCTGTACAGTCGATCGCAATGAAGAACTTGACAGCAAAATTTTACTGTCGATCTTCCTGGTTACCACAGGTACACACATCTACTTATGGATCGTGGAAGGTTAGTTAGTAAGGCAAAAATATGTCGAACGAAGATTACTACGACACGTGTATGTGCATTCACATAGGGTCAATGTTTCAATAAAATGAGCAGACTTTATTTAGTTTGTTTCAAAAGTATAGGAATGCCTACCTCTGTATTGCAGCATTAGATCTCAAAGGCCAATGGACCACGGTGCACATGTTCTATAGAGCATGCCTCAAAAATGTTTGCCACTCCCACAATTCAATCCACATGAATATGATAGAAGTGGTAGGCCAATAATATTCTGTAAATCGCAAAATATACCGTAACGAAAATAATTAATCGCAGTAAAACGGCAGAATATTTTTGGAGTCTAAATTTTGATGAAGGATTGAAAGCTGGGCTACACCCTTAATGACGTCCCACTGAGTGATATATATAGCCACGAAAACGAATATATTTCGTGTGGTGGCCAGCATTTAGACAGAGGTTGATTAGGAGTGCGTTATTGTCAGTACATGAACATTTCCGAAGCAGTGCCACTACAGGGGTGGACAAAATAGAAAACGAAGGCAAACCACTGCGCTGTGGTCTGCCCCGTTATTTCTTTCGTTGGTGTCATCGTTGCACTGTTTCAAAAATATTCAAGCACATTTCTATGCTTGTGCACTTTACGTGCTAAGCTTAAGCAACCTAACGAAAGCAGCAGAATTGTACTTTCAGGCGGGAATTTTACTGCAGTCAGACACGCCTCTTTTTAATACGTACATTATTAGCCCACGAAGCAGGCGCACTCATCTCTTCATAATTTGCGTTTTCTGTTGCACACATGCTTGGGTGGCGTTATCGTTGCACATTTATTGTTTTTCTATTGCTCGGCTAACTAGGACGGTAACCTGAAATACTCATTCCCGATGAGTATAGAAAAGTGAAAGCTGAAGTGAGAAGGGTGGTTTAAGCGAGCACACGTACACATGTAGGGAAAGTGCTTACTTAGTTCAGTTAAGGCGTGGTTTTTTTTTTACCATATACGCCTTTGTGTTCTCAAACGCATCTATCTATCTATCTATCTATCTATCTATCTATCTATCTATCTATCTATCTATCTATCTATCTATCTATCTATCTATCTATCTATCTATCTATCTATCTATCTATCTATCTATCTATCTATCTATCTATCTATCTATCTATCTATCTATCTATCTATCTATCTATCTATCTATCTATCTATCTATCTATCTATCTATCTATCTGTCTGTCTGTCTGTCTGTCTGTCTGTCTGTCTGTCTGTCTGTCTGTCTGTCTGTCTGTCTGTCTGTCTGTCAGTCTGTTGATACAGAAGCATGACGTGTAAAGCATCTTGTTACGTTGACACGCTTAGCTTTTTTCTTGTTTGTTTTGAGAAACATAGTCTGTTACCATCAGAATGCCGTAACACTGTGTTATATTGATAGAAAAGTTTCTCTTTCGTTCTTTCTCCGTGTCTTCATATATACATGCATGTAATCTTGAGCAATGCGCTAACAAAGTTCGAGGTGGTATATACGACGTTGCTTCATCGATGCCAAATTCTGCCGTCCACATTGTTTGTAACAATTTACTGAAGCGCTCGAGTGTCCCCATCAGCGGCATGTTTTGCCGGCTCCTTCCAGCATTGATGCTGCCCATTATGATGCTTTTAGTTTTTTTAGCAAATCTTTGCTTCATTCAGGTGGTAAGCAGAGCATGCAGGGGCCTGTATGATGAAAATTTTGTGCATTGCACATGACGTGGAGCTGTTTGATGATGAGATTAAATTTTAGTGTTATTTTTCATCAGCGTTGCTGTGCTTGTGTTAATGAAGAGCGTGCTAATCTTGCCGCTTCATGTGTTAATGATTATGGCCCGGGTTTTTATTCTTTCTTCTTTTGTTCTTTCACTTCTAAATCAATTTTCGCCTCATCACCTTTTTCTCTTGTATTCCCTCTTATACCTGAGAGCACTGCACGAAATTGTGGTCATGATGCTCCGACAGTCTTACTATTTCCGTAGATTCTAAAAAGTTAAATATTTTGCTTAGCAAGCGTGAGACATGATTGAGGAGAAACCAAAGATACCCCCCAACGGAAAGACGGAATCTGATCTTTTGAGTTACTTCAGTGACACGTTATGCATGTATGCAACGAGCGCTGAGGGCCTATGGGTGCTTCTTTGTGCAAAACCGTAATTTGGAAAAACCTGCTTGTGACAGGAATTGGCGGGGAGATCATGCTACAGCTGCGCAGTTTTCACATCCGACTTCTCATCAGTGTGTAGGACAGACGCAGAAACTAAAGACGCTGAATAAACGTGATTGCTCAGCAGTTTAAGAAGGTGGTGTCGCCTTGCCTAAACAAACCCCCTCATGGTCCCAGAGTTCCAGATCTGGTGATATGAAAGATATCTTTTTGTTTGTTTCATCCGCTTGTCTAGAGATTACGACAAGTACGTGATATCCATGCGACTAGTTTGTTCTTCAGACAATGGTATGACAGTTTTCCTCTTTGATCGCATTACTACGCTTGTAGAAATGGGACCCGGGGAACACTATTTTGCATTGTTTACCAACTATAGCTAAAAATAAACAAATTATAAAGTGCGGTATCGTCCTTAAAAAGTTCATATATCTGTGAGAAGTTTCCAGCAAAATATGTTCTTGCGTGTCGCACTTCGCAGCCGTTGCACAGTCGACGTTAATGTTGCATCATTAAAAGCTTCCGCGTGTATCACATAACAAGAAATAAATCATAACGGAGTTATGCGCTTTTCGGCTCCTTGGTTCTAGACATCTGCCTGATAAAGATGCAATTGCACAGGATGTAGGAGGGGATGCTGTCAGCCCCTTTTGTGGGTCTTTTAGTTCTGCATTACGACTTCACAGACGTCAATGATTATAGTGTAATATTTTCTTCATAATAAATATAGTTGGTTTTGTTTTACGCTGAGTGATCACACGCCCTTGTTGAAAGAGAGATGATGATGGAGAATATGGGGAAGAGAGTGCTTGTGATGGAAGACATATGGATGAAATGAGATGGGGTAGGAAAAAGGACTCAAAGGTGAGAAAGACTTCAGTGAGGGTGAGGGGAAGAAAAAGCAGGACGTAAGATTTAAAAAAAAAGTACGGGAGAGGAAGGGGTGTCGAGGTTAGGGGCTGTGAAAGCAGGAGCAAGGGCAATAATAAAAGAGAGAAAGAAGGATATGAAGAAAGAACTTTCACCAGGGGCAGCGTTCGCTTCCCAAGAAACTGTTGGGAAATATAGTGGAGTAAAGCATAGCGTAGAATGAACAAAAGAAAGACAGAGAGAGAATCAAGGAAGGAGAAATAAACAAATAGAGAGAGAACAGATACGAAGGGAAAAGAAAAGAGAAGTGGTGAGATAGATAGAGAAGAGATATAGTGAGAGAGATAAAAAGAAAAGCAAGAAAACAACGAGAAAGGTGAAAACGTAAAGAGAAAACAAAGATATAGAGATAAGCATTCAAAGAAGCCAGAGGGAAATGACAGATGAGAAGAAAAGGATTGAACTAGAGGAAGAAAAAGAACCATAACTAGAAAAAAATGTCCCATCTAAAAGGTATTCATGCAAGACCCAGAAAACTTGGTATCCCGGCAGATCACAACGTAAAAAAATAATAAATACTACCGAAAGAGCATGTGGTGAATCTGAAGGTGCCAAAAACACACCAAATGTTGTGAAGCCAAGAATTTCTTGTATGGCCGCGAGATTGATAGGAAACATGGTATATGCAAGAAAAAAAAAAGACACTGAGCACTGAATATTGAAAAAAAAGGCCCTTTCGGCTTCCTTGATGGTGGTTTTGTTCACTTAGTGTTGCCATTGTGAACTACCTAAAACGCGTTTTTGGTCTTATTTTGTAAGTGGTGTCCTTTTTTTCACTGTTGTCATATTTTTTAAGCGTTTCACAGTGAGCAAAGCTTCAAAATTTCACTGCCAGAAAGGCAGAAGAGAACTCGTTCATTAAGTAGGCAGCCCTATATCACTGGAAAATTTAATAGGGACAGTTTCACCCGACTGCCTTCCGTCGAAGGAAGTAGGGTCTAACACCTATCAAAGTATATCTAAGGGAAGGTGACGACATTTGGTAACGCGGTGGCATCTTATTGTACAGAGGGTGACAAAAGCTTTGAATCAAAGTGTTAGACCATCAATTTCGCTTCGGGAGATTCTAGCTGGCATAAACGAAGACTTCTGAACGAAACAAAAGACAGAACAAACGTCAATAAAAAATTGGCAGATCCCACGTACAGTGGGAATCCATGGTATGCGAAGCACGAAAGAGAAATGTTGATATGTCAGTTTAAAATCGGCCCAACGTTACGAGGTGGATGTAAATGATGCCATACATGACTTCCCTGCCATGACTATTATGTTTGAATGTGTCGTTTACCTTCGTCATCAATTCACGTCA